CTGCTTCAGTGATATCCAGTTGAAGCCATGGTTTAGTAGGAGGGAAGATAACAGTGTCCAAAGTATTTGGATTTGCATCAGTCCCATCAAGAGCAAGATAAGGTTTGCTCCATTTTATTCCAGTCTTGTGATGAGTACTTGTTGCCTGTGACTCTGTCCAATCTTGTTTGACCTAAAATGAAAATAATAGCAGCTAAAGTTCTATCTCTCATTTCAGGCTAATTTTTTCCCTTCTCCTCCCTTTTCCTTTCAACTCCCTGCCTGTTATAATAACCTGATGAACTTGTACTGTTCTATTGATATTAGTTATATTCTGCCAGCTGGCTTTGTGTGAATACCAATACTTCAAGTAAAGTTTTGCTGATACAATGTTGCCACAATCACTTGGTATGTCCCCAAATTGAATGAGACTCCTTTTCTTGGGGAATTCCGGATGTTTACCAATTATAAGGCCATAGGAGTTTTTATTTGATCCTCCTTCCAGCCAGACGTCTTTTATTGCATTAAGGCAGTAGACTGGCCCATTGCTGCAACAAGTGCTTTGACCACAACCTGCAATAACAATTATAGCTCTTATATCAGGAGTGTATGATGAATTGATGATAAATGATTTTACTTGCATGCATCATCATGCACTTTTGTTCATATACAGAATAAAAGAAGCATACCTGTTGTAGCCATGAAGGCAAGTATTGCATTAAGCAAGAGAAGGTAAGAAGGCATTGTAAATAACTTGAGATGCTCAATAGGCTGTTGCTGCCTCTTTTATAAAGTATAAATGTTATGGTCCAAACGGCTGGAACAAAAACCTATCATTGTGTATAGAGCACCTATAGTATATTCTTACGTATAGTAAAAATCCACTCTTGGGAAGTTTAGTGTTAAATTGTTACTAACAAACAAACAGAATATTACAGCAGATATTACAACAATTATCGTGTCCTTGTTCTTTTGCTTTTCATTTTTTTCAGTCTGTACAGACTATTGATGCTGGTACAGTTTCAATATGATAACTAATTGATGGTGGTAGTAGGATGATGAATTTGCATATGTTCCCATTTGCAATAGATACAACACTCCACCCTAAGACATGTTTGCTACAGGTAACCATACGATTCTTGTAAATAAATAAACTGAAAGCATTTGACTAATGTCCCAATTTAGCATATACCAATAGGCAGTGTGTATGTTTATATTAATTATTATTATTAATTTCATTATTATTTATGACATGTTTCACATATATATTACTGAACAAAAAAATTGTGAAACTTTATGACATCAATATGCTGTACAGAGTGATTTTTTTATTAATGACACTCCTCCTGAGTCAATTCTCATTGCTGATTGTGGCAATGGATAAATAATAAGCCAATAAAACTTTATTTACCACTAAATCATAATCATTATTCATGATCACAATCACTAGACTAATAGTGAAACTATTTCTTTAATTAATAAAATCAAAAATGAATGGCCTAAAAAGTAAACATAACTGAAATTATCTACTTATGAAAAACTCAAGTTCATGAACTGACTAGCTCAGTTGTGTTCAAAATTAGTTGCAAAAGATGGAGAGGAATGGCTTATCAGTGCTGTGTTCACGACTACGGAAGCGAATATCCCATCCATCATCATTCTCATTTGTTGCCCAAATAACAACTCCATAATTTTCCTCTCCATTCTTCCAGTTTCTAGCTGCTTCAGTGATATCCAGTTGAAGCCATGGTTTAGTAGGAGGGAAGATAACAGTGTCCAAAGTATTTGGATTTGCATCAGTCCCATCAAGAGCAAGATAAGGTTTGCTCCATCTTATTCCAGTCTTGCGATGAGTACTTGTTGCCTGTGACTCTGTCCAGTCTTGTTTGACCTAAAATGAAAATAATACCATCTAAAGTTCTCTCTCTCATTTCATACTAATTTTGCTTCTCCTCTCTTTTTCATCTAACTCCCTGTCTGTTATAATAACCTGATGAACCTGTACTGTTCTATTGATATTAGTTATATTCTGCCAGCTGGCTTTGTGTGAATACCAATACTTCAAGTAAAGTTTTGCTGATACAATGTTGCCACATTGACTTGGTATGTCCCCAAATTGAACGAGACTCCTTTTCTTGGGATATTCCGGATGTTTACCAATTATAAGGCCATACGAGTTCTTATTTGATCCTCCTTCCAGCCAGACGTCTTTTGTTGCATTAAGGCAGTAGACTGGCCCATTGTTGCAACAAGTGCTTTGACCACAACCTGCAATAGCAATTATAGCTCTTATATCAGGAGTGTATGATGAATTGATGATAAATGATTTTACTTGCATGCATCATCATGCACTTCTGTTCATATACAAAATAAAAGAAGCATAGATCTACCTGTTGTAGCCATAAAGCCAAGTATTGCATTAAGCAAGAGAAGGTAAGAAGGCATTGTAAGTAACTTGAGATGTCCAATAGGCTGTTGCTGCCTCTTTTATAATGTAACAAAATGTTATGATCCAAATGGCTGGGACAAAAACCTATCATTGTGTATAGTACACCTATAGTATATTCTTACATATAGTAAAAATCCACTCCTGGGAAAGGTCGTAACAGCTTAGTGTTAAACTGTTAAAAACAAACACAAACGGAATATTACAGCTTATACAAACAAGCAGATGTTAGGAGCTGTTCAAATCAACAATAATTATGGTGTCCTTGTTCTTTTGCTTTTTATTTTTTCAGTCTATACAGACTACAGAGTGATGTACACTTTTAATATGATAACAAAACTGATGGTGGTAGTAGGATGATCAATTTAAGTTAATATTAGCATATGCCTCTATTTGCAATAGATACAACTGACTTTCCACCCTGAGACACATTTGCTACAGGTAAACATATGATTCTTGTAAGGGAATAAACTGAAAGCTTTGACTAATGTCCCAATTTAGCACATACCAATAGGTATACTTGTTATCAGTGTATATGTTTATAATAATAATTATTAGTATTAATTTCATTATTATTTATGATACGTTTCATTGTTATTTTTATAGGTATGTTTTGATTATTATTTAATATTACTAATACAGTGTATTACCACCCTGCTTTCCTCTCATACATAAATCTACCCTTTTCTTTACTTACTCTAGTAAAATTGATCTGTTTTATGAATATGAAAATACAATGCTACCATGCATCCTCTTAAAATTACACAAAAATTCTTTCATTCAGAAACTTTATTATTCTAAATTAAATATACAGTATAGATCTAGCCTCTATAAAACAGACACTTTGGTCCAAGAAACTGAATTGCTCTGTTAGTATTTTAACTAAAAACATAAAAAGTGTAGGAAAATAATTAGTTGTGGCTTGTATGATTGCATTATCATAACAATTAGTGATAACTGCTCTGGTGGGCGAGACTGCAGTTCTTATATCAAAAGCATTATTATGCTTTCTCATATTACAAGTCACATGATAGTACTAGAGTAGAAGAATAGCTACAGATTTACAGTCTTCATTCTGATCATGGCTTTATCCAAGGGACCACTAACAAGAGCTCAGAAGATACCAAGAGGATCTAATAAGCTGAAAAGAAGTAAATGTATAGCAGCTATTGACTTTGGAACCTCATCAGTATCAATAGCATATACCACCCCTAATGATAGGAAGATCAGACTGGTACCACTTCACAAAACTTATGAAAGAGTACCTAATGCTATATTAATAGTGAAGGACCAGGAGAATCAACAGGAGGGGCAGGACAAGGGCAAGAACAAGGAACAGGAACAGGACCAAGACAAGGACCAGGACCAAGACAAAGGCAAGGAACAGGAAGAGGAACAAGATGAAGGCAAAGACCAAGACAAAGACAAGGAACAGGACAAGGGCCAGGAACAAGATCAAGACAAGGGTCAGGAACAGGAACAAGACAAAGGCAAGGACCAGGACAAGGACCAAAACAAGGACCAGGTTCACCAGAAACCAACCAAAGAGGAACAACAATGCATAGTGATTGGGATTGGATATCAAGCACAAACATTGTACAGTAGCATAACAAATAATATTGAAAAGTACATATATTTTGAACGAATAAAGAATTTATTGCAAAGAGATACTGTAAGTTTGTAATTATTAGCAATAATTATTATACTAATATTGATCAGTCATTAGATCGTACTACTGAAGTCACTTCATTCACTGGAGGATCTTATTATCTCATTGAAGTTATAGCTTTTATACTAACACACCTCAAGGAGAAGCTACTGACTGGTCATCTGAAAGGAGTCTACAAGTCAACTGATTTTGATTGGGTCATTACTGTTCCTGCTATATGGAAAGCAAGAGCAAGAAGAATGATGAGAGAAGCTGCTTATATGGTAACCTAATACATGCTTTATATTTCATTATGTTAATATGATAGGCTGGTCTCACTTCTGATGCTCCTGGTATAACTAAGTTCACTCCAGTAGGTCCCCCTTTACCATGTCCAGAGGAGGTTAATCCTGAGAAGCTATCATTAGCTCTAGAACCAGAAGTAGCTGCTATATATGCACAGCATCAGTCAGAAGTATCAGGAACACCTCCACAGAGATATATGGTAGTTGATATAGGAGGAGGTACAGTTGATATTACTGTACATGATAAGAGTAATGGAAGAATTAGTGTAGTACTACCACCAATGGGCAACACCTGGGGAGGAACAACTGTCAATGAAGCTTTATCAGAATTACTACAAGAAGCAGTAGATGATGAAGGTTTCGAGTCTTTCATAAAATCAGATGCTAGTAACATAGCTGAAATAAACAAACTTGTTTATGAAGACTTTGAGGAACAAAAAAGAATATTTGGAAACGCAACACGAGGTATTGATGAAATGGTACTTGAATTACCAAGACCTTTCATAAGAAATTATGGAGGCAATGTAATCCGTGATGGAATGGAGCAAGAGAAGGTGTACTATGATCCTGGAGAAGGTGCATTAGAAATGGACTATGCCCAATTAGAAAAAAAGATATTTAAATCCACAGTTGATAACATCCTTAAGTGCGTGAGAGCAGCATTTGATCAGTTAACAGATCATATTGATACAGTTTATCTGGTAGGAGGGTTTGGAGGGTGTAAGTTTGTTAGTCAAAAGATAGAAGAAGCTATCGCTCAGCATCGTGGCATGTTTTATGATATTATAGAGTGTCCTGTACAACCAGATCTTGCTGTTGTAAGAGGAGCGGTAATGTGGAGGAAAGATCCTAACATAATCCAATCACGTGTTGCTGATGCTACTTATGGGACAAGTGTTGCTCCAATATTTAACCGATCAATACATGATAAACATTACAAGTGTAAAACTGAAGATGGTGTACGACTTTGTAACAATGTCTTCGAAGTTTTCATACTCAAAGGAGAAGTAATAAAGGATGAAGTGTATAGAGCATCATTTATACCTCGTTCTCAAAGCCAGACACAACAATCTATCGCTATATTCTGTACAGCAGATGATGAAGTTCAGTATGTAGTAGATAAAGAAGGTAAACCAACAGTGCATACAATTGGTCAGCTAATACTTGATGTACCTAATCCTGATAATCTACCAAGAAAAGAGAGAGAATTTGACGTATTCATGGATTTCAGTGGTACAGAGATACAAGCAAGAGCTCAGTATCGTATCACA